CCAAAGCTACACAGAGAAACCCTGTCTCGAAAAACAAAAAACAAACAAAGAAACAAAGTCAATCTATTTAATTACTAAAAGAATGAATAAGAGCTCTGGCGTAAATCCCAACACTTGGGAAGCTGAAGCAGGAGGATTGTCGTGAACTTCAGGCCAGGAAGCCTGGGCTGTACTGTGAGACCTGTTAAAATAAATAAAATGAATCAGGAAGGAAGGGTTTCTGCAGTTGGGTGGGAATTCTGACTCTGGGTTCTTGATATTCAAAGACTAAGGAACTAAGTTTGGATGTGCCTTCTCCTTCTTGAAGGAGTGCCAATGCTGTGAAGATAACAGAGTTCAGTAGTGGGGTGGAGATTTAAAAAAAAGGGGGGGGGGAGTTTCCTTACAACTCAGACATGAGCAGCATGCTCAGATTCTGCTGTCCTGTATCACTGTTTGCCCTTCCTGAACGTGGCATATGAAAACTTCCAATGTCTATCATTAACAGAGAGCTCTTACATCCCCTAATATAGCGTAAGGGCACTAAATTTAGAGGCACCCAGCCCCACATTGACCACTAGTTTTGACAATAGCTCAGGTCAAATCTGTCTTAGATGTTTCTCACTTAATAATACTTGCCTGGCTGGATTGTTGAACAAAATAAGGAGATGTAATAAAATGTAGGACCGCCAATACTACACAGAGAAACCATGTCTTAAAAAAACAAAACAAAAACAAACAAACAAAACCCTTGTTTTCCTCATATCCAATGCTGACCTCTTGAATCTGCTTTGGGAGAGGCAGCTCATGTACATAGATTTAAAAGGCTTGCTTTAATTAATTGCTTATTTTTAAAAAAATTTTTTTTCAAGACAGGGTCTCTCTGTGTAACTGTCCTGGATGTCCTGAACTCACTCTGTAGACCAGGCTGGCCTGAAACGCACTGAGATTCGCCTGCCTCTGCCTCCCAAGTGCTGGAATTAAAGACGTGTGCCACCACCACCTGGCAATTAATTGCTTAATTAACTTGGCCATAATGATTTGGGTTTGTGATCTTTCTTATATCTTTGGCCTTGAATCTTTGGGATTAACAGGTTCCCCTGCTCTTTCAGGCTGTTTATTAGTGAGACCAAAATTTTTCTGAATCCAGGTGAATTTCCAGAAACCCACTGATTTTCTGTCTTTATGAGGTCATTCACTCTAAAGCAAGGCTGGTCTGACCAGAGTTTATGCCTGGACCAAGTATTCTAGGTCTCCATGACAACGCATTCAGAATTTCCGGGTCCGGGCTGGGCCCAGACTGCGCATGCGTGCAGTCAGTCGGCGTTTGAACTCCGGGGCTTCCGTAGAGCCAGACATGGCGGCCGCCTTGCTGCGAGAGTTGGGTAAGGCTTAAGGCTTCTAGAATTTGGGGACAGGGAGGCAGTGAGAATCAGAGTTGATAGCTCGTATTCATGTTCCAGGTGCACTGTGGGTACCTAATCTGAGGATCTGGGCAACGCAGACGCACGGAGATTGTAGCGACTCAGGCTGCGCCGCGTCCTCATCCCAGGCCTCGGGTGGGACGGCCGCTCGGCCCGAGATTGTGCATTGAAACCCTGTGAGGACTGTTGGCCCCGAGGGCTCCTGTCAGTGCTTTCTGAACAGCCTCTCCCTATTTTCTGGCCACGTCGTGTGGTATATCAGCAAACATCCTAGTTACTTCTGTGATGACTTTACGTGGGCAAAGACTGTTTGGAGACTCGAGGTTTGCCTGACATTGTGCTGAATGCGCCCTCTGTGTTGTCTGCGCCTCAGGCAACTGGAGTTTTGAACCTTTTGCTCTGCAGAGCGTTCTAGAGCCTCTGGAGAGAAGCTTTTTATTAGTTTTTGTTTGTTTGTTTACGAGTCTACATAGGTCAGGCTGCCCTCCACCTCCCATTCATAGGTTTGGATGTCAGGCCGTGCCAACAATCATGGCAGGAAACAAACTTTCTTATGTAGATGTTAAGGAATGTAGCTGAGTTAGAACTGTCGTGGAACCGTAGGGCACTTGGGAAGTTTTGCTTGCATATATAAGTTCTTGTAAATGAATTGCTTTGTTTAGAGTAATAATTTAATCATGGTAGTTTGGTACTTGCTTGATTTAGTTGAAGGCCCACTTGAGTATTGAGAATGTAGTAAGTATTCATAAAACTTTGCCATTAATAATTTATGGCATACTTAGTTTACCATGCATTATATTTAATTTGCCAAGTCTGTATTGAGGATTTGAGAAATGGAAGACACTGCCGCATGAAGGGATGTCAGAAGGTATGTATCTCCCTCTGAAGAAATCTTGTTTAATAGTTTATCATAGTGGTTGCTTAGAAGGACTGTCAGAGCAGAGCAGTTCATGGTTTTGTTATCCTATTGTGAGTGATGATATAAAAAATGTTAGAGGCCTTAGAGACATAATCACATTCTTTCTTACACACATGAAAACCAAGCCCAAAGAAGTGACAATGTACTCACTGATTTTTAACGATGCAGACATGTAAACACCCATGAATCAAACTGTGAAGGAAGTTTGAAGCTGGGTGCTATAAGGTCTAGAGATCACAGGAATATTTGGAGGGGAGACAGGACAGATAACTGTTTGATGGGCCTCATTTTCAATACCCCTGGCCATCAGCACTATGCTGTTTTAGATACTGCTGTGCATGGTGCATTAATTAGTCATTTAACAACAACAGAATAAAGTTCATTTTACTCTCATACTACATAAAATTATCTACATATCTGAAGTTTACTGAGTTCTATGAATTAGGTTAAGCATCTTACAAGCAGTATCTCATTTGCTCTGCTTTATTGTAGCTTTAAATATATTTGATGGTTTCAACTCCCTGCAGGTGGCACTTTTACTTTTGCTAGGGTTGTCCCATTTTGACCTGTGGCTCCCATGTCTCTTTCATATGCTTCTGTGGTCTGTGCTAGTTTGCTTGGTTTGTGATCTGGCAAACTATTTCTTACCTGTCTTGCATACTGTCATTTCTCACATTTTTTGGAAGCCACTTGCTCACATTACCTGCTTACTCAATTAATATTATTTCCTTCATGAATTTCTGAGTGAGTTGAAGACTAGATAGTATAATTATAGTTTTCCTCATTTACCAGACTCCGAAAAGAAACTCACTGAAGAAGTGTAAAGTGTAAAAGTCTGAGCGACATTAAAAGATAATTTGGTAATACAAATTAGAATAGAAAGTAAATAAGGTACAAGACTTTGGACTTACCAAGATAGCATAGATAATGGAATGTTTTCTTTGGATTTGTCAAATGCAAATGGACTAGACATTGTTGATGTATTTATTGGCTGCATATATTGTATATAGTTATTGTACATGAGTTTTCTTATATTGGTTATAGGCTTCTTTTGTAATAGATGAGAAAAAGGGAATTGTGGTGATATAATTATGGAGATCGGAATGCAAAGCTAACCATAGCCATAGAGTCCAGGAAGTAGTGGCACACACCTTTGATACTAGGACTCAGGAGACAGAGGCAGATGTGTCTCTGTGAGTTCAAGGCCACCCAAGGGCTACATGAGAGTGAATCAGTCTAAAAGAGAAACAGAGCTCACACCTTTAATCTCAGCACTAGAGCGGTATATAAGACAGGAGCAGGGTCTCAGAGCTGGCATTCAGTCTTGGGCAATTAGTCTCCAGCCACATTGAGGAAAGGATCGCCCCATCCTTGGTTAGAGGTAA